ATAATTTAATTAAATAAAAATTAATATTTTTCTCTTCTAATTAATTCATCTTTAGAAACAACTTAAATAATTATTTGATTAGTTATTGGATTAATCTTATTTTTTCTTATTGTTTAATTATTTTCAATTATAAATAATTAAATCTCTTTAAATTTTTTATGAATTGACAGCTATACTAATATTTTCATGATTTTTTTTAATTAATTGTTCATTATTATTATGAGAATATTCTTCAAAAGTGAAATTTTCAATTTTGGGTTAGATATCATATTTAGTTTATTCATAGACTTGTTAAATTAATTAATTTTTCATATTCAGTTTCTTCTTAAGAGGATAATATAGAAGTATAAATAAGTCAAGTATATAATATCTAATAAATTCATATTATTACATTTGATCATTCCTAATGATTATTTAATTTTACAATAACTTTATGTTAATCAATTTATTCAATAGAATAAAATTCTGCTCTTATTTCAATATTTGCAGATTGAATTCCCCAAAATGAAATATAATCATCTAATTTGATAAGAGTTTATATTTCATGTATAATTGCTTCTGCTTAATAACATACATGTAATAATGATTTAATTAAACATAAATAAATATATTAATTAATAATATTATTACTCCTTAAAACCATTTATCAGATTAGAGTGTGTGTGATACTTTTGAACTTTATCCCAAGATCTAACTTTATAATGTAAAAGTATCATAAATTAGAGCATCTTTAATATCTTCTAAAATTGTTTTTCAGAACTAATTTAATTATTCATATTTCCAATATGTTTTATTTAAATAATTTATTAATATATTTGATTATTCAATAAAGATTGTATTAATGAAAAGAAGAATATAAATGTTCTTTCTATTGTTTCTAATTATTTCAACAAACAACTTCTTAATGTTTATTAAGATTTAGTAATAATAAACCAAAAATAATAATATATTATGGTTCATTCAAAGAATTGTAGAATTTATCTAAATCATCATTCTTATCATATATAATATTCTTAATGAAAAAATTGACTATTAATTGGTTGTAATAAATTTTATAAATTAATATGGATGTTATAATAATAAGTATTCACCTTTTATAGATAACCCAAAAAATTCTTTATAAAAAATATCAGAATATTGTTATAAATAATGATCTCTTTTTTTTTCCAATTAAAATGATATTATTTGTATTAACAAATATTTTTAAATTTCTAAAAGTCAATTATTTCATTATCTTATCTAGTTATAGATAACAATGTTTCCTAAGATTCTTTTGCAGCTCTAGCTAATAAAATACCTTCCAAAATAAATTACTTTAAATCTTAAGACTACATAAATCGTCTAAACTCAATTAAATTGTTTCTTAAAAACCAGAACTATTTTTCATCATTATTTCATTATCGCCTTATTCTCTTCTCTTTTAATTATATTTATTAATATAACAATTCTAACTTAATCTTCTAATAGTTATTAAATAAATAAATATGACAATCCACAATTATTATTAAGTTTACTTCTAAAATGATATTTACAAATAGATACATCTTTTTTAACTTTTATTCTACTTAGACTTATTATATTAATGATTACTAGACTGTTTTCATTTATGATGCCATAAGCTAATTATGTAATAAGTATATGTCCTAAATTAGAGAAAATAGAATTTTAAAGCAAATTAAGCTATTCTTTCTTTTTTTTTGATTATGGTATAGAAATTCTTATTGTTAGACATCTAGAATTGAGTCTAAATACTAAACTGGTTATGAATTGTCATAAAATTAGCTCCCTGCTAATAATTAGTTGATAATATTCATTCAGATTTGATGATGAAAAATAATATTATTATTTCAAATCAATGTCACACTCTTAATTAGTACCATGAATCTAATAATCATAAATTCACGACAACCACTTTATATCCTAATATGAAACCAAAACTCTATTATTTTCACTCAAATCTCTTTTAATATATTATTTACATTGATTCTATATATGTAGTTCTTGATGTATTTACATTAATTTTCTACATATTAATTTATATCTGGTTTTTACACATCCATATAACATTAAACTTTATATTACTAATTTTATCATCTTATTAAGTTTATTGAAATCAATTTTGATTATCCAATCTTACTCCAAAGTTTCTCTACATTTTCTAATACACTTTATTAAATTTATTTATTATAATATATTTTATTTTCTATTGCAATTTGTAAATAAATAATCTTCTAATTTTTCAACTAAAGTTTTTGAGAATTCTTTTTCTTTAAGACTTCATTAATATTCTCCAATATTATTATAATAATAGAACAAAATTTTTAAATTTTATAAATAGAAATTAAAGATGGTTTTTGGAGCCCAAATTTCAGATAAATTATTTATATTTAATTAATTTTAATAAATAAGTAAAATGAATTCCTCCTACTAAAGCTGAACAATTTTACTTATGTTAATATTATTATAAATTTAATTATGAAATTATATTTATAGAATTTCCAGTAATTATATTTATTATTCTGATAAAATATATAATTAATTATTATTTTAATCCATAATATTTTTTATTTATAATATTATTAAAACATATCCTATATTTAAAAAAAATATATTATGTTAAATCTTCAAAATTAGTTAAAGTAAGTTCAATAGATGCTAAAAATAGAAAAATTTCAAAAGAAGTGGAATCATTGCAGCTAATTTTTTGAATTTAGAAAATTACACATCACTTTAAATATTCTGTTAGAAATTGAATATATAATACTTGCTACAACTCCTACTAAATTAATTCAGTTATTATTATTAAATTTATTATATAGTCAAAGCATTTCTAATTATCTTAAATTTATCTAACTTCAATGAAAGAATTTGATGATGCATTCTCTAAGTGTGATGAATTTGATCAAAGAAATTTAGGGTATAATTTAAATTCATAAAATAATAGGATTGTTATTGGAATGATCTTATTAGGAAGAATAGAATTTTTTAATTTGCATTAGTAGATGGTTTTGGAGGTGGAGTTTTAGGAGTGTTCGGAGGTCATTAGGTAGGAAAGAGAATAAAAAATAATTTATAAAAGAAATAAAATATCAAAGAGATTGATATTTATGATATAAGAATAAAAACTATAATAAATGGTCATAATAATAGTAAAAGAAATATAATTATAATCTAAATCTATAAAGATTTGTAATTGATAAAATCTTAACAGAAATAAAAGTAGCATTAAATTTTAGATATGATGCAATTATCAATCAAACTCAATTTTAGAAACTATTGGAAAAGACTATTGTTCTTTTAAATTAAGATTTATGTTCCATAGAAATTAAGTTTATTATTATTAATATAACCATAGTTTATAAGATTAAAATATTTATCTAATAAGAGAATAAACTAATAAATGAATATTCTCATTATAAAAATTTACTTGAAATATCTGTTTTGAAAGGCATTGAAATGTTATAGAAGCAGTTAGCCCTTTATTTAAAAATTAATTATCTGATCATAAATTACCTTAAATAATTAAAAAGGCTACAGAAATCATTTATTTAATTGAAATTGTTCTATTATCTAATTAATTCCCTGATCCATAAAAGAGTATCTATTATATAAAAATGTTGAATGTTTAATTAAATACTACTAGTCTAAAATTATATATTTAAAAAATTTCAGATATAGAGTGAATGTCAGATAAGATATTTAATGTTCTATGTAATATTGATTGGTCTAAAAATAATTAAGTTTTTTTCAAATTTGAAATAATATTACCTTTTACCATTTATAAGATAATATTATTGCTTTTAAATTCTGCAATACATGAACTTACCAATAACCAGATTTATAAAATCTTAAAGGAAGGTTCTGATAATGTGTTTATAAAAAGATTGGAATAATAAAAATATAAATAGATATTTCATCTTGATAGACCCCACTAGAATTGCTATTAAAAGTAGTTTAAGATATTAAATTAAGGAAAGAAGGTTAATATTTAATTATTATTTAATATGGATAAATTATTAAAACATAAGATATAGATGTTATGGTTATTATGTGCAACCTCTGATTAATCTATTTTCTCCTAGAGAATGGGTATAAGAAGAATTTTGAGATATGATTTCCCATAATAAGGGTAGATCAATCACATTAATATTTTATCCTATTAATTATCCTCAGCAAACAATCAATAATATATATATATCTTTATAGAACCGAGGAGTCTTATCAACACTTGGAAGAGTTTTCAGAGATTTTAGCTCAGGTCAAAGATCTTAATGACCAAATATTTAAAGAGATTCTGGAAAGATTGAGAATAAAGAACATTCCAGATTTTTTGGATTTGTTTCAAAGATTTGATTATTTGATTTTAAAACAGGATAATAAAATCTAAGTCTTATTGTCTCCTAATAAACAAAGATTTAGAATCTAGCTAACTTTTCTAAAAACTTCTTTATCGTATCACCTAAGAATAAAATTTCCAAGTTATATACCCACTCAAAATAGTTTAATTGTATTCCTTTTAGACGTTAAAAGAACATGCTTCAAAAAAGTTTTTTCATAAATTATGAATTAAACTCTCCAAAATGAAATTATTGACGTCTCAATAATTTTCCTTATTTGATTTCTTTTTATTTATTATCCCAA